TGCAAAATGAAATTGAAGAAAGAGGAAATGCAACGGCATGGAGGTCATCTCGGGCGAGTTTTGTCGATCAAGGTATTGCAAACAGCGTTTCTTTAGTTCTAACATATGAATCATCAATTATATTTCAATTTTTAACTTTTACAACGTGATTATCGGAATTTTTCATTCAGAAACAAAACATCGGAAAATAAAAAAAACATCGATGGTAAAGAAACATCGGTATTAAATGTTTGAAACATCGATGTTTCTACAAAAACATCGATGTTTTGAAAGCATCGACGTCGACGGCGCATTCCTAGTTCACAATACTCGGGATTCGTCGAATGCCCCATGCGTGGAGCCTCCTTAAGATCGCTTTCGTACTTCCCACTCAAGTCCCACACGCGAGTTCCGAGCGCTTATTCGCTGCACCGACGTCCACTGCGCAATGTCGTAATCCTTCTCCTATTTCGTGACGTCCTCGTCCTCGCGTCTTCCCCCTTCCCCTCCCNCCCCCCCCCCTTCGCCGGAGTGCCACACCGCGCCGTCTGCCGGCCAGAACCGCGCGCGGAGCTTCACCTCATGGTAGAAATACACAAGTGCGTTCCTCCGCCGCACCGATTTTTGCTCGTTCTGCGCAACACCAGGTCGTGACGCAAACCACGTGACCACAACACGGACATCTCGAATGAAAAGCAAGACCAGGCGCTGGCCGCCATGTTGCTTGGTGAGCGAGACATGTTGAAAAACATTTTGAAAGTGGTATAAAGTGACAATTTTCAATGATAACGAACAAAAAATGACATGATGATGTACAAGATGCGATCTTTAAAAGAAATGCTTCGTAAATCTGTTTCAATGTAACGAGGTGATAATTTTGGTAACTGGCTGCATTTAAAATTCCCGCAAATACCGTGACGCAAACTGGTGCCTGAAGCTCATTGGCTGAAGTCGGATATGATGCGCAAGAGCCCCCCCTCCCCCTCCTTGCTTCACCTTCCGCGTTGGCTTCCTCCGCCGCGAGGGGCCCGTGCGCGCCCCGGCGCCCCGCGGCCGCAGCCGGTTTTTCCCCTTTCCGAGACGGCGACGTCCGCCAGTCGCCGCCAGCTGCCCCGCCATGCGCGCGCCGCCGCTGCAGCCGCTCGCTTTGGCAGCCGCGAGCGCGCTGCTCCTTCTCGCCGCAGGTCAGTGGGTTCAGTGATTCCGGGCGCCTCAACGGCTAAGGTCATTATTCCAGTATGTGTAGTGTATAATTTTTTCCTTGGGAGGAGGCGGATAGCTTCCTCCACTGGACGGCGAGATCCGGCGCATTCCGTCCGCTAGCGGGGTTTTCCCCCAGCTAGGTATCTCCCACCGCCTCAGCCGGGACAAGCTCTAAGCTCCCGGCCGGGCTCGCGGCATGTTTGGTAGTGTGGTGAATGCTAGTGTAAATGTATGTAAGTAATGAGTGACAATAGGACAAGGAAGAGGAACGAAAGATCGCGCGCGGTCCGCGGCCTGTTTGTTAGGGTACTGCTCCGGCATTCAACTAACCTAAAGTTATTATAAGAATTCAGAAAACTACCTAGCTGACAAACTAGTGTCGAAAATCCTGCCACCGTCGGAACTCCAACCTAGGACCTACCGGTCAGAGACACTGCAGTGACATCAGGTGCTCTGAGCCACCTCTCCCGGTCAGGTTAGTGGAGGTCGCAGTTGGACGCGGGGTGAAATTCGGCTGTTGAGTTTTCGTGAAGACTTTCGGAGACCGGTGTGATTACACGACTGCTTTGCATCTCCGAGAACTTGTATCGCTTTTCCGTTAGGCCGCGCGTCACCTGGAGGTGATTATTTCCGGTTTCCGATAGTTCAACTGATATGGTCATTGGGTCCGCAGATTTAGTAAAATGTTATATCCCGAGAAGTGGCGGTGTTCCTACCTCCTCAAGATGGTGAAATCCGGTACCGACATACTATATGTCGGCTCGCTGGATTTTGCACGACCAGTTATCTCCGTTCAAGCTAACTAGCTAGGTCGAATTCCGCCACCGTTGGATCTCGAACCTTAGGACCTCCCGGTCAGAAATACTAAAGTGTTTACAACTATTGCCCTTTGGTGTCTCTGCCGGTGGGTGCAGAAGTGAAAAATAATAGTTTGCGAATATGCCTTGGGGGAGCTGAAATAACTTTCCGTAGAAGAGCAATTGCCTTCGTTGTGAAGACCAAAATTTACAAGCTTCACTCATCCATATCGCGTTTGCATCTGCCACTGCTAACTTCTTCCATAAGAGATATATTTCTCAGAGAACTCTCAAAGCAGAAATAGGACCTGCGATCTTATAGTAAGTTCGATAAATACTGAATTCGTCATCTTTCACATTTCGCAATCTTCCCTTTTCTTTCAATTGTTCTTTACATACCAAGAATTTGAAAAACGTTACTGTCCCATAACGTCAAAGGTGAATATTTTTCTTCCAGATCGGCCAACTTTTCACCAAAGAAACTGATATCAAATGCGCATTTTGTATCAACAAACCTAACTTCAAATGATAATAAATTCGCCAAAAACCATAAATATTGCATTCAATACCGTCAAGAATTGAGTGAGCTTGTGTACTTTCAAAAAACGCGAATTCACGAAATTAAGATGTTGCTAGTTTCAGACGAAGAGAAAATTGGCATTCCCCTCGGCGTTCAAGGTTGACGAGGTTCCTCGCTCCGCTGAGGCAAGACCCCACCTTCATTCTGCGAGGCCTTCTAAGTAGCAGTGGCTCTACGTACGAGATCGTTGCGGTACGAAATAGAAGGGGGCGCAATATTGGCGCCTAAGGACGCGCGGTCGAAGAAGAGTATTAGGGCGTGTCACGCTCGTATGTCATACGAGCAGGCTCCTATGTCATAAATCGTATGTCAGAGCTTTCAACGAGACACCAGAGAGGGCGTCTGACGGGCGGTTTTTGCAGCAATATTGAATGACATTAAATGTAAAATACATATTCGTAGCATATAAGAAGTTTGTTGATTATCTTGGGATTCTGCAACTTAAGCACCAGCCGCCACCAGCGGGAGAGGTGCCTCAGGGTATCTACTGATGTCACTGCCACTGGTGGTCCTAGGTTCGAGTCCCGACGGTGGCAGGATTTTCGACACTAGCTAGATAGCCAGGGCGAATTCAGCCGCTGTGTGGAGGAGAAATCTTGCGGCCGGCTGCTCTGATCGGTAGTTTTCCGTGATTTATTCTATCATCACCAGGCGAACGCCGAAGCAGTAACAAACAAGCCATGCATCAAGACCGCATGCGATCTTTCTTTCCTCTTCCTTGTTCTATTCTCACTCCTTTCTTTCACTCTCTTACACTAACTTAAGAGAACTTAAACCTTGTCCCGGCTGGGACGGTACCCCGCTGGAGAGAGATATCTGGTAAGGGAAAATCCAGATAGCCGGTGGTAGGTCGGCTCCGGATCTCACCCTGCATCAAGGAAGATCACCGCCACCTCCCAAGAAAAAAAAATAGGCACTACACTTACGAGAGTAATGCGCGCCGGAATTACTAAGAAGAAGAAACTCAGCAGCGCTACTCGATGCTTCTCATTCTTCCATCCTGGAGAGAGAGGGGTTATTCCATGGGAGGGCACACTGCGGCATTTGGTATCATTCTGTAGCTTCTTTCAAATTATTGAACAGGTATTCTTTCTTCTTTCGGTTTGATGTGTAATTGTACAGAAAAAAACTGGTTTTTTAACATTTTTTGGAAATTTTTATTATTGTCGAATACATCGCCATCTATCACTAAACGGAAAAATCTTAAATGCAAAAGTTACGTTTTTTTCGGAAAATCAGAATTTAGTTTTTTAATTTTTCCCCATCTTCACTTCTGGAAGTAGGGGTGGGTGGTCGAGTTTGGAATCTTTGGATGGGCCCTATCAACGAACAACTTTTATTACCCCTTTTCTGGATCCGATGCGCTCTTTCCGAGATACGATTAAAACCAATTTTAAATAGTACATTGTATGTGATCTCGGATCGAAGGATCGCGGGTTCGAATCTCGCCTCGGACATGCATGTATGTGTGATCGTCCTTTCACCCCTCATCATCATCCTATCACTTCATTAACACAAGTAGTAATAATTCCCTGCTTAAGCAGGAGGCCCTCGCCCTTAATGGGATGTTCTGTTGGCTAATAAAAATATATTATATACTAACCTTTAAATAAATAAATTACATACAACATTAACATAGTACGAGTAAACTGTAAGTAATGCTAGAGAATGAATGAACGTGAGCAAATACCGATTTTCAAATGAATGTGGTCCACAATGTATTGTTATTAAACTTAACTAACACCTTAGTTACATAAACATACTCACCTTTTAATGTTAGACTTGCATGCAATGCTAGATTCACTTCAAAACGATTAATAGAGAAATTTTAGAAGAAGAAGTGAACACAAATTAGACTGAGTTTGTGAAGTTTTAATCTTAAAAATTAGGGGAGAAAAATATGGAAGTGTTAAGGAAATCCGGGGAAGAATCAAATATAGTTGTAAAAGATGTTGCGACAAAACTTTTGGAACTAATTTGGAATTATCTGTATTTTTGCATTTAGCATTTGTCCCAATGCAAATGTGCTATGTGCACTTTTGTGCATATTAACAAAAAAGCGTAAAAATGTAGTTGTACTAAATAACTATTAGCATCAAAATCTGCAAGTATTTGTTACGGCTATTATAATTTTGAAATAGCAATAAGACCAGTTCATATCCCGTATGGAGGTGACTTGGGTGTTCGGAACTTTTGAACGGGAGTATAACATTATCAGCTACTACGAGTCATTGGTAAGTCCCATGACAGATACTGAAATAAACGTATTTGAAGAAATCTGGGTATGAAAGAAATTAAATATGAAAGACATTTTCAGCACATGAAGATATTTTAAAAACAGTTTACAGCCTCGGCGACGCCACATTTCGCTAGCATTTTCGCGACGTACCCTTTTTGCGCCAGGTCCCGCGGCCAGCACATCCTCCGCGCGGGGGCGGTCGCGGCCGCGCGCGCTGCGGCAGGCGCCCGCGGGCGGCGAGGGCTGCGTGTTGCCGGAGCAACCCGCCAACGGCCAGTACCACATCGGCGGCTGCGCGCCTCCGGACTGCCAGCTCAAGCCCGGCGACCGCGTCGACCTCTTCGCGCTGCTCAACTTCACCTGCGCCCCTGGTCACGCTTTGGCCGGGCAGCCGACTGCCTTCTGCGACGGCCGGTGGTCGCCGGGCCTTCCGGCGTGCGTGCCAGGTAGGTACTAGGGCCTACCCACGCCGCCACGGCAGCGCGCGTCCGGCAAGCGGCAGGGCTCTTCGCCGACCCTCCGGCGACGACGGACAAAGGGACCGCAGCAGGTATAAGGGCCCCTTCCCACGTCGCGACGGCGGTGCGCTTCCGAGTAGCGCAGCTCGTAGCAGAGCATTGGTTTGAATGGAGGCCTTCTCACGTGCAGCGGGTGTCCGCTGCTGCGGCAGCCGACGCCGAAGTCCAGCCACGCGAAGCGGAGTGAGAGCCCGCCACCGCTTGCCGCAGCAGCGGCCGCCCGCTGAACATGGGAAGGGGCCCTTAAGGCCCATTCATAGTGAAAACACAAGCATAAGTATGGCGTTAACATAAAAGTTACGACAACTCATTAGAGAGTTTTAGCGCCAGGCGTAAGGAGATATCTTTAAACTCTATTGATCACGTGACTAACGCCTTTATACAGTCGTAATGAACAACGTTCAGAAGAGTTTGAAGTAGCAATTGCAACATTGCGTTATGCATTACAACAAAGGACGCTTTTCAAGCGTTGAACAGAGAAATTACATAATATATCAAAGAGTGTAGGCTAGTGGTGAGACATTTAAAACAAATTACGAGTCAACAGAACAACAAATATACATTGTGCATGGAGTTTTAGATTTTGTGGCCCTTCGTGATGAGTATGCAGTTTGGAATTTTGAATCTGTTTTTCTTGAAAACGTAGGAAAAAACCTTAAAACAGCGATTGTTATGAGCACAAGACGTAACCTATCCCTAAGATATGATTTGAACACTTTTTCGCCAATTTTTTCCTGTCACCTCTCCAACATATCCCGTTAATTCTTGCGGAGTTGGTAAAGAATAATTGTAACTGCCTCACATACGAGAATCGGTTTACCAGAGTTGGAAAAACTCTCCTTTTCCTTTTTTCAGACGGCCATTTTGCCGCTTGTAAGGTGACCGTAGAGAATCCCTCAGGCGTGCACTATTGATGACGTATAAGGTCGTACCTTAGGCCTAAGGTAAGACGTTATGACTTCAAGGTCCATCACGTGACTGTTTAGTGCATAACGCCGTTACCTTACGCGTGGCGCTAAAACTCCCTATTCACAATGCATTCGTATAAGCATAACACGTACGGCGTTAACTTGAAAGTTTCAAACATCTGTGCTAATGCTTAAGTAAGACATAAGAAATGAACCGATCACAGTACGTTAACTCAAGATCGAGAATCGAAAGAAAAGCGAAGTCTGTAGACGAACTAACGTCATATGGGTCATGGACACAATCGATACCTCGAAATCGATTCTCACATCCAACCAATAGTAAACTAGAATTTCTAACAGCCAACGGAAACTCTTATTTTGCTTATGTTTATGTTAGACATTGTGAATACTTCAGTCTATCACTTATGTTAATGTTTACGTCTATGCTTATGTTTACGTTTGCATTGTGAATGGGCCTGCGCCCTGCGAATGGGGATGCGACGCCGACGTCGAGATTTTTTTTATAAAATCATCGATGTATTTAACATTGATTTTTTGAAGGCAATCTTTTTAATATCAATGATTTATATTCGATGTTTTTATGTGATTGATATTTTGTAAATGAAACAAGTCTATCACAACGAAATCTCATAATCATTTTCTGAAATCTATAAATTGCATATTCTTCTGAACAAAGTGGCCAAGGACCAAAAATAAACTAAGTCGAGTTTTCGTCAGCAAAAATCGTAAATTATTTTTGATTTATTGTATCAGATAATCCAGTTTCGTTAATATTGTCTTGATCATTTTTTGACTTTGTTTTGTTAGTTAAATCTCCATTGCAAATTAATAAACTTTCAAGCTAAATCTCCCCTGCGAGAATGGTGGTAATTAATCCAGTTTTAAAAATATAGATATTTAATAACGTCAATGATTTGGGGTCGATGTTTCATTGACACCGATGTTTCATTAATATCGATGTTTAATTTTTGAGCATCGATGTTTAGGAACATCGATGTTTTGTTGGCGATTCGCATCCCTAGTAGGTACTATGCGGCAGGCGAGGCGCGGAAATATCATGAGCAATGGCGCAACCACGAACTTCATGGCGAAGGGGGGTTGACATTTTAAAGGAGTAACTCAGGGCTGGCCAACTCCCTAAAGAGCCAATATTTTGTTTTAAATGGAGGAGAGAGTGGCACAATTAATTCCAAGAAGTGCGCAATACATCAATGAAAAAAATATGTAAGAATGAAACAAAGTTTTGCAAAATACCTTTACATACATTTTAATGTCAATTTCAATAAATAAATGAAGTAAGGATAATAATAAATATAGGAAAAGGAATTTAGATTTTGTCATGAAATTTTGGACACAAAAAAACAAAGTTAATACTGTTGGGCGTATGCCTTCAAAAATATCAGGATATCAAAATATCCAAATAAAAAAAATACAAATAACAGATTTCGCACGTACTGATATTACTAGCTTTAGATGCCAAACATTAAAATCTTTCTTTTGTTAGTGAGAACTCTGTGGGCGGGTACAGTCATGCAACAGCATATCAAAGTCAATTTGATTGGAAGTAGACACATTTGTCCTGAAGCACAATTTTTTTCTTCAGACACATTCCTTTTTTACTAATTGTGAAATAAACTGCTTCCTTCCTAAACAAAACACAGCAATAAAGCATTGACATTTTGACAGGATGCGATTTAGCTGAATGCAGAGTGTTGCGCAAAGTGAGCTGCGCAGATGGATTTCCGACTACAGATACGATGATGTGTCCTAAGATTTATATATTGCTTGGTCTCATAAACAGATTTACGAAACAAATCTGCATATTTATTTGAAGAATAAAATATTAACGTAATATTTTTAACGTGTTGTAGGCCGCGAAAAACAGTCGCGGGTCGCCATTTGGCCATTTCTGGCGTAACTGAATAAGTTTTGTTTAGGAATATTATGGTTTCCTGTATTAGGTTTCTAATTGTAACATGAAATATTTAAATAAAAATCTTGTATTCCCAAATATAAAAGATGGGATTTAGGAACATACCCAGCCCTGAGCAGAAGCATATTTGCTGTAAATGTTAAAAGTCGTTTTCGCAGTTGATTTGTTTGAATTTAATTAGTTTTCAGAAGCGTCAATGATTAAGTCGTTTTAACAAACAATTCTTGTGGAATAATTTCTTCAATAGTTCAAAGTGAAATTATTTGCGCCTATATCACGAGTTACAATTGTATAATAATGCTTTTTATTTCACAGATAATACTACAGCTTTTTGTTCACCTCTAATTAGTTCCTCCAGTGACATTATTTGTACACTCAACGACAAACCAGTTAGCTGTGGTCAACAAGTGAGATCAAATACAAGGGCCACCGTGAAATGTAAACCATTTTATGAATTGCCGCGAGAGAAAAGTAATAATTACGAGATCACATGTGACAGCGGTTTCTGGTCCCAACCACTTATTCCATGCACACCAGGTACACAAATAATGCGTATTCTTGCATACAATAGATATATTTCTTTGTATTACTTGTCTCCTTAATTTGTTTAATATTGTTTTCCTTGTTCTTCTTTGCATTTACCTGAATTCCAAATGAAATCTTTCTTCCAGAATGTGGCGTATTTGATTTCAATATTTCGAAGGAGACTGAAGATGGAGTAGAAAAAAGTATTCCATGGTATGCTGCAATCATCAAGAAAAATAATCAGGGTTCATGGGAATTTGTGTGTTCTGCATCTATAATTTCTCCACGAGTATTAGTCTCTGGTACTTATTGATTTACGCAATTTTAATGATCCTCGTATTCCTGTAGGAAAGTATGTGTTCAGGAATTCTGTATATAAGATTTCAGAGATCTCTTTTATGACGCGTTATAGTGAAATATGTCTCGATTACAAATAAGTCTACTATAAACGCTTATTAAAAAACAACAGAGAATCATCAGCGCTCATTTCATTGTTGTAACACTAGTTTGGGCTTCACCTCTGATAACTTCCATAAATAAGTAATTTCTTAGTTTTGGTAGAAACTAACCACACGTACACCAGGAAAGCAAGGTGCACGTAATGACATTCAAATGTTTATTTTCTTTCCTTGTTTGCTTGTTTACTTTGTTGCTTGATTGCTTTATTGCCTGCTTGATTGGTTGCTTTGTTGCTTACTTACTTTGTTGCGTGCTTGCTCACTTCATTGCTTTGTTGCTTGCTTGCTATGTTGCTGGATTTCTTGCTTGCCTTTTGCTTGCTTGCTTGTTTACTTTGTTGCTTGCCTACTTGCTTGTTTTTAAGGGTCTGACATTTTACCGCCAAAGTACGAATCTCCGAACGATATTCAAAATCAAGCATGAATGGGCCTGAAGAGAATGGATGACAAACCTTCCCCCGAAACTAAGGATGGAAGAGAGGGTTGACTGGGAAAAATAATTGCGCGTGTATTGTGGCCGGTATATTCATGCACATCATCGGTAACAGCTTAGGATTCATAAAAGCAAACCACGTAAAATACGCTCGATAACAGTCTTTATTGGGGCTTTTCAATTGTCAGTGATGTGCATCGACTGTGCTATTTAGCTAGCGTTCGTGCAAGTATTCGAAAATCAAACTGCATTGAACGTGGTGTGCATGCGAGCGAGCTTACATTCAAAGCATGCAACAGATTGAGGGGCAAAAGTTGCTGAGAGGTACAGATTAACAATGAAATATCTCTGGTCCGTATTAGAAATAAGGCGAATACAAGAATTATAAAGAGTATAAAGAATTCGGGGCAGCGTTCAGGCAAAATTAAAAGACACCAGATTTGAAAAACCTATTATGACGGTTCAATCGAATGTGTGTTTTAAAATACTTCCTTGATTCGGTTTGTAAGACCTGAACGCTTATTGACTGCATAGCAGTGTGTTACATTCATTATGCGGTTCGTTCCCCCTTCCTTGTTTACATTAAGTAGTTTGTGAACCACGACCTCTAACCAAAAATGTTCTAAGAGAATTCAAAACAGTACGCATGCATTTTCATATGATTTAGTACTTAAAATATCATTTTTTATCCCTAGTCGCTCATTGTGTATGGAAAGAATCAGATAAAAAGCTAGTCGATGCCAAGGATTATGGAGTTGTAATTGGGAAATATGAACACGGGCCAAAAGAACTGATCACTAATGCTCCTCAACAAATTTTGGTAAATACATTTTCTTCCACAATATAATTGAATCAATTACTTTATGAATGAAATATAATTAATTACATTATATTTATTTTTGTAACAGGTGGATAAAATATATGTATCCGATACGTTCAGAGGTTATGCAAGACGATTTGAAGAAGATATTTCTGTCATAGTATTAAAAGATGAAATCGTTATGAACGAAGTTACTCATCCCATTTGCATTGATTTGGAAGACGAATATGCTCCGTATTTCATCCCCGGAAAACAAGGAATAGTAAGTTTGTATTTGTGTAAGAAGGCTTTCATGATCCACGAAAAAATATTTTCTACTTCTGCCCTAATAAATTATTGTGCTGTTCAAGTTTGTGTATAATTAATACATTTTTACAAAAATGATTAAACAATACCTTCTTTAATAGAAACATATTTTGTCAAATATTTCTTATGTAAATTGTATCACCTTTCTCAAAATGTTAACCAATAAATGTCTTCAATAAAAACTGCAATTGTGTGTTGAGAAGTAATGGGGCTACACAATGGCACAGACTTTCTCGTACTCTTTTAGTCGGCGCTACTGTTTTGGTTTCTCCCTTCCCAGCCCGGATGTCATCTATCGGAGCCCAAAGAACTGGAAGCTTTTGACATAACTACAGCTCCTCCAGCAAAAATTCGTAGTATAGGTTTGCCTTCTGCTCCCAGAATATCACACATAGGTAGCCTTAGATCCGTATCGGACTTATACCATTACATATATTGGCTGTTGCCTGTGGTATATTACCCACACATGGTGCACATACGACTCTCACACACTGTTACCGATCAGGAAAAGATATGATGGAAGAACTGGAATATCGTTGTGGTATACGAACACTGACAATAACATCATGTTACAAACACAGTTAAGAATATCCGTGTCTTACGCAGGAATCGAATACACAGTTTAGTGTCTCTATTTTGGACCTGAACATGTGGTGGAACCTGGGTGGACCTGAACATGTCCCTGTGCCTCAATACAGCTAACTTATATCTAATATTTCTATCAGATATCCTAAACTACTACGACCCCGACCCCGACTATGACCCCGACCCCGACTATGACCCCGACCCCGACTATGACCCCGACCCCGNNNCCACGACCACGACCACGACCACGACCACGACCACGACCACGACCACGACCACGACCACGACCACGACAGTACTAGTACTAAGTACTAGTCTTAGCAGTAACAACGGCAGTGGTCGTAGCAGTACTACTACCACTACTATTACTAGTACTTTTACTACTACTAGTAGTACTGCTACGACCACTGCCGTGGTTACTACTAAGACTACCGAATTGATTACAATAACGACGAGTATTGTTGCGACGTTTTCATTATTGATTTCTGTTTTTTATTGCAGGTTGGTAGCTGGGGAGTACCTGTTGATGAAACGTACAAGCTACGAGTAATATCACTGCCAGTAGTGGATTTCGAAGAATGTTTAAAAAACATACCACCAGAATTCCATTCATATTTGACTCACGACAAATTTTGTGGCGGTGTACTTAAAAGTAAGAAACAACAGATTTTAATGTGTTGAAAATAGGCGTATGCTATGAATGGCCGAAGTGGCTAGAGCGAGAGCCGACTCAGCGTCTCGGTCCGAAGGGTCGCAGGTTTGACTCTTGCCATGGGCACTGTTGTTTGTCCCTTGTTTCTCATGTGTTGTGGAGGGCCTCGCGTTCTGCTGCCCTCAGATCAGAGGAGCCCGCGAGTGCATCAGTGTGTGGTGTATTGGTCGAATATGCGTCCCATCGGGGCGTGAGGGGTAACGGGCTCTCTGCTGGAAACAGCCTTCGGAAAAAAATATCCTCAAATCCAATGTAGGAGAATATATTTTTCTGAACGTCAGATGTCATTATTTGGGTAATGTGTTTTAATTCCAATTAAAATATATAACGCCTATTCCATGTTTGCGAATTCCTTCAATATTGAATTCGTATATTATACGTGTGTATTTCCGCAAATAAAACCTATATTTAAGGAATCAAAATACAAGGCACTATAAAGAAACATTTCTGTTACTTTCCATCGTGTTGTCGTAAATAGTGATCAGAAAAGATTAATCATGCCTAAACCACTCTCAAATGTTTTGAGTAATAGTGAATATCACACGTAGTTAATTCAAAGTTTTTGCTGCGAAACAAACTTAATGTTACTTTAAAATATCATTTATTTCAGAATTATTTCAGTGGTACAGTGGTCATCCCGCAGAAGTATTTTCAGCTCATCGCTCACTTGTGCGATCGAACTGTAAATGACGGCAGAGCATGAACGAAAGTTGCAAGCGCCGAAACTATGCGGTAGTTCGAATATTATTTTTTTTAATAATTTTCAGTATATTTCGGGTGCTGAAGCACATGTGACTTCCAACTACCCCGTCCCTATGTGTGACTTAAAAAAACTTATGAAATACCGCCTACGGCACTTGCAGAAAAAAATAGAATCAACACGCGTCATTACCTAATCCGACCCAAAGGACAACAATCATTCACCTTTTTATTTATTTACACCAAAAACAGTTAAAAACTGTGTATGATGTGCTTTGGAGAGAAGTTAATTTGAAGGTACTTGTCCGTCAATCACTCTACAAGGTGATTCATTGTCTGAGGAACTCAGAAATCCAGCTGCATCATGATATGAAAAGCACGTAATATTCTATCCTCGCAAAATCGTAAGGGTATTCCCGCCATTGAAGACTAATGTCGCGTCCCAAAGTGACCAAACGGAGGATACAAACTACTGGAAGCCGCCAAAACGGGTTTCGAAGGGAAACGTTCCGCGTATGGAGTGGTTTTTATAAGTATGGACAGTTTTCACAGCTAGAGTTGGCAACACAACTGAAGGTTCTGTGATCGTTGTGTTCTCGAGCCTAGTAGACTCTCCTTCCTGCATTCGTTTGTTTGCAGTTGGCTAACTTGTAAATAGCTTCGACGCTTCCTTTTGTGATGTTCTCGTCCGACGAAAATATAGTGCACCATGAAACATTTTTAAGATATTTTCTCACATACGTAATTATATTTCAATATTTCCCGGACTCGCATACGTGCATATATCTGAGAGAAACTTGTAGACTTCTCTATATCTTCACGGGAGCTGTAAACAAACACTTTACGAAGAAGGATACTTCTCTGAATTACACGTGATGTTCACTTGTTTAGCGAAATGTCACTTCGGTCCATTATTATACAAATCGCTCTATACCTAAGCGATCTTATGCTATACTCCGTGTCTGCCTGTTTTTAAGCATCGTACAGAAAAGTTCACCGCATAGCATTCCGTTCGCCCTCAATAGATATTCTCCTTCAGTATGTTTAGCTACATGAAAATCTGAAAATATAATCTTTTTTTTATAATTTTCACAAATGGAAATTACCATTTCGTATACTTTTTTTCAGAGCGAAGTATTTGCATTGGAGACTCTGGAGTAGGATATGCAAATCAATTTAAAGATGGTAAGTGGTATTTGACTGGAATTGCCAGTGTGGGAGTGAACCCCGGCAATGGAGAAAGTTGTGAAATTGACTTCTACAAGGGCTTTACGAGGGCATCCCTCTTCATTAATTTAATAAGAATGGGTCTCGATAGTGTGACTAAGAATACTGAAGTAGTCACACCTTTACCAATTTCCTGCAAGTAAGTATTATTGTGTTTATTACTTTAGGTCAGAGGTCTTCAAATTATGGCCCGCGGGCCACATCCGACCCCGGGCAGAATTCCATGTGACCCACAACCCAAAATGCTTTCTAATTCAATTTAATCGTGAAGCAGGATGTTTCATTTTATTCCAAGACATAAAGATTTGTTTCCTATTGTTACACACTCTTTGGTTCACATACCAGCCATTAGATACGATACACTGATTTTGATGGTAACTCCAGACTACCGGTTTTCATGTGATACTGAGATAGCTCCAGTACCTATGCAAACGGAAATAATTGACCTCAAAACTGATTATGAAGGACAAATTTAAAGAAAGAAGTTTCAAACAACTCCAAATGAATTTTTATCCTAAAATTCTAAACGTTTCCAGAAGTTTCTTGTCAGTGTTTGTTGCAAGTTATAGAGGTGAACAGACTTTCTTGAAAATGATGATCTGAAGTCAAGTACAAATATAACCTAAGTAATAAATAGGACAAGGATTATGTTGGCATATCATATTTTCTTTGGTGCATTCTAGACGAAGATAACTTGTAAATGAATGTTTATCACGACAAGTAGGTAATAGAAATGTACAGTTTGGGGGTAATATTTATCATTGTTTGCCATTTTTTTAATTTTTAGGTATTTTTTTACTATTGAGTCATTTTGCCATTTTTTACACATTTGTTGCCTTTTCATCTTTTTTGTTAGTGAATGTTTCATAAGTTTACAACGACACACTAAAACAAAGTTTTTATAGTATCATCAGCACATGACGAAATTCACTACTGCAGTAGACTGTGTTTCTCAAACTCTCCAAATTATACCTATCTTCTACCTAACTAACACCTACTACAACTTCTACTAACTACTTAAATATGACTTCCTAGACCTTTCAAACTGGCTGTTGGAAGCAAGACTAAGACTTTATCAGATCTTTAAGTATTGTGGATAAGGTACATTGAGGAATTCCATACGTTTCATCAATTTTTACTTTTGTTCAGTACGCAACGGTTTTCGTGATCCAGAATTTTCAGTTTCTTTTGGGACCTCTTGGCCATGACTCTCCTAGTATGATACTGCATCAGCTGTAGATGTAATGCACTGAGTTAGCGAGAGAGCGTCGGCCCTGCGTTGGAGGCACTAGGAAGCGTGGGAAGGAAGCGCCACGTTTAAGAAAATTCGCGTTAATCGATAAAACTTCCTATAATATCATGAACATCGTTGCCGGGACCTATTTTTTCGTGTTAACTGAGTGATCGCCTTATGGAAGTTTATATAACTGTATGATAAAGTGTATGAAAAAGTAGGGAGACATGTATGTGCAAAAACAGTTCATTATGCTTTTCCAGCGTTACAATCCAAAAGCTACTATCCAATCACACAATATCGCCATGTCTACTGCTAGCCAGTAAAGAAATTACCAAGTGCGTAGCCGTTAACCCTATCACTAGAAGATGCACCAGATCGTAGCTCAATCAACAAATATCAAACGGAATAAACGAAGCACTTGGCGTGGTCAGCCAAAAGGTCACAAAAACAGTCTCTAAGAGCCCAAACTCAGTCAACAACTACTCTGTCTTTCCGTTTCTTATTCGATTTTCTCCTCTATATTCGTTGTTGCCCTGAAGTGGCGGGAATTTATTTGACTTTGGGATACTGCACTCCGTTCGGCTGGTCGAGAGTTGCTTTCTTCGAATTAAAATTAAACTATTTACTGTTGTTTTTCCTCTCCTTATGTCTTCTCAGCTAGCCTAAAATATAAGCCACTGTAGAAGTATTCTGTGTTGTTAAATCTAGTGTTTGTCAAGAAGGCAAAGTGACAAATAATAATGAATTATTGTTACTGAATTATTGGTGAATAATTAATGAACCAAACTAAAGGAAGTCATTTTGTGTATACAGGGAAAATGAATTTAAATGCGCTTCAAGTGAATGTGTGAATCGATTACTTTTATGTGATGGAACGAAACATTGTTCTGATGGATCTGATGAAACTTACGAAGAATGCCACCTAAAAAAGTAAGTATCGAGGTAACTATTCTGTCACAGTATCAGAATGTTCGAGTGATAATGATCACAAAATAAAATATTTTCCTTCTATCTCAGATTTGTTAACAGTTTCTATTGCGCATTTATATTATTTTCTACATGTATAAATTACGTTTGTTACCCTGAAATCACTAATTGCCTGTAGAAAGTAACTGAACTTACTTTTCATTTTCTTATTGTTCATTACAGAGTTTTAGGTTCAAGGTATTTCTTGATCACTCTTTTGTTGGACTTCTGGCGTGCACTTTTATTTTATTAGATGTGTATGTCATGAAATTACGTCACTTAATCAGCCATGGGATAATGTCCATACGCGAAAACATCGTTGTAGAAACTCCTGCGTTAATTATATTAATGTTCAAATTATAATTTGCATTATTGGTGTGTATGCTGTTCGTACTTACAACGCCTATTCATGTATGCCTTGCATTCAATTAAAACAATGCATTTATTTTTCAATGGATTAATATACGCTTCTCTTACCCAGAAACTCTAGTGAATGGGAATTTTTTTAAGATGCAATGACGGTATAGCAGCTGCCTATGTAATTAACTAACATGAACTTTTGTTTTGTAGGTGTTCTGCAACATCATTCCAATGCGCATATGGAGCATGCATTGATAAGAGATTTGAATGCAATGGAAAGAAAGAATGTGAAGATGGATCAGATGAAGATCCATCACTCTGTAAAAAAGATGTGAATGTAAATCCTGTCTCTTGTAATAACTCTCCCTCAAGTTACTGCAAATTGCCAGATCACCCCGAAAATGGTCATTACACGTTTATTGGGTGCAATACAAATAGTCAACTTCTCCCAGGCGACTTAGTGGCTCCCGGAATTCTTCTCAACTTCTCTTGTAATCCTGGATTTGTTTTAAGCGGACCTTCCTTTCTTGCCTGTTATAATGGTTGGTCTTCTATGCCACCATTCTGCAATCCAGGTATTACTTATTCTTACCCCCGTAGGTATCTTACTTTAATGGTTATCGGATGCGTTTTGTGAAGACTTAGAAAGTTTCTGAATGTACAGGTGGTCCAAACTAAGTGCACACTAAAGCAGGTAAATTGTAGAAGAAATCATGGATAATTGTTAAAATGATCATGAATGAAACTAGCATATTAAACAATGCATAATATACTATGTAAATTTGTACAGTGGGCCAGGAAAGTGTCTCCACAGGGGCACTGCACGTGTTGGTGAGAGTGCTAGCAAGATATATGTTGGTAACACTAGTTGCGGAAAACGTACATTGAGTACTCACCACACTCATGACAGATGTTGGAAGTGTTGTCCCTTGACTTGTTTCCCATTGATCTTTTTACCTTTTGATTCCATTGATCTTTCATTGATGATTTAAACACATTTGATGTGATATGTTATTACTAGAGGGCGGTTTATGATGACCGAAACAGTACCAAAACTTTCAAAATGGCCTAAAAACAAAGAAAAATTACGTAAATAAATTGATCAAAACCACTTCGTAAAATCCAGGCTTCTTTCTTTTGTTCCGGGGAACTCAGCCTGCAAACGTTTGATTTGGACTGTTCTTTAAAAGAAAATCTCTGCTTTTATTTATCGCAATTTCGTCCAAATTGGCAATGGCGCCGATGGGCGTCACAGGAACCTTAGATTACTTAGTAATCACAAAGCTGACATTTCAATATATGAACGAAGAACTCGAATAGGCTAAGGATTCTGTGGTAAACATTCGGAAATATTGTTTGAAGCAAGTACCATTAAAATGATGTTAAAATCGAAGATTTCAGCGAAAATGCATTAAAAATGACATATAGAAATGGGTCATTGCGTTTTGTCATAACATAAAATTAATATCTTTACTAAACGGCACTTTTCTAAAGTGAAAAAATGACATTAAAATTCGCCCCAAGTCATTACAGTATTTCAAATTTAATTTAATTGTATTATATCAATATATCATCGCATGAAAGGTATGTTTGTGGTGTACAGACCTAGTAACATATGTTTACAATCAATCAGTGCTACAGAAATATTGATTTTAGTTCTTTTCTTTATTTCACGTATTTTTTGTTGTCTACTTGCATTCATATTCAACTTCGTTGTTTGTCTAGTGCTCTGTAATCCACTGCAAAATCCTTCGAGGGAAGTGTATAAATGTATATTGAACAGAGAGGATGTGGACTGTTCAACAAAGTCGGTCAAACCAGGAACTACTGCTACTGTTAGATGCCAGAGTAATTATGAAAGCATCCCTGGTCTTCGTGAATATAATTTAGAATGTCAATCTAATGGAAACTGGAACAGAGAATTTCATTCGTGCGTTCCCAGTAAGTAGTTTGGTAAAAATCAGTGTATTATAATGCTTATATAAAGATAACGTAATGAACATAATGTTAAATGATATCTTCTCACAGAATGCGGTGTACCTAATCCACGTGGTGTTCAGCTAATTGCACTTGGGCATCAATCCAAGGTGGCGCAATTCCCATGGCATGTTGGCTTTTATGAACACTACGACGGCCAAATGCGCCCCACGTGTGGGGGTTCCATAGTGTCACCTCATGTGATAATCAGTGGTAAGAATCATGTTATTTCATGAACAAAGGTGTGGATATGAGTATTTCAGAAATTATTTTTTATTATCGTTGGTAAGATTCGATCCTCAGTTTGGTTTAAACAACATGAGTAGAATATGTTTACAAAAATTTAGATGTACTGATCCCTTTTGTAAACTGTGTATTAGTCTGGCCGTATTTTGGAAAATGCACATTTTTTTCTTCTCACAAAAACATTAATAAGACGTTACAAAACCCAGCTGAGACCTTCAAAAATGGTTGCAAATGTCACCTTGTTTGCGAGAGGTGTACTGATTCAATGACGAAATAACGGTCACCTTGTAGAATAAGTTATCCTCAGCTCTTATTTATCTAGATGCGAGAGGAGTGCTGGTTTTGGGTCTTTAGATGGGAGGAATTTTTTGGTATTTCGTCGCTCCTAGACTATTTCCTCATATGAACCTGCAAACGGCATAGCGCAGGGAAAATAAACCAAACTATACCACTATCTTCAAATGTAAAGAATAAAAGTGTTGCAAAAATCTATGACATCAATTCGGTATTAAAAAACTTTCCCATCCTACAATCTTTGCTATTCTCAGGTTCGAACGATGACTTGCTCCCAAATTCCCAATGCTCTATCAGACGAGAGAGTTCTGAAAAATAAAAGCGACACATAATTGACAAAGATTATTACCCTGCCGTACGATTCAATGAGTATTGAAAATATTATTAAGGATATCTGTGTGTAGACGAATATAATCGTTCTCCTTATGAATTTCACGTCATTCATGCTTTCTCCTTTTTCGCTCCCCGTCTCAGAGCGCTAGTTCAAAGAAACTACATGATAATTGCTTGCTGCCAACGTACCACAAACTTTTATTGCGCCCCATATGCGTATTGTTTAGTTCCTCGGCACAATCGCTGCGAAAATGATCGCGGCTCCTCTGATTTTCAAACAATGTGAGCTCGTCGCGTCTGTGGAAAAAAAATTGGATTCCATGAAATCTGACAATGAGCAACTCTTTCGTCTCGGCTGCTCAGGAGGTGCTGCAACCTAATAATGATTTTCCGAAGCATTTGAAAATCGATTTCAAAGAGCTTTGTGCAAAAATGAGTATCTGGTCAATTGGGAAAGAATTCTCGCGGTTTTTTTGGCAAGATATCCGAGGCGGGAAGTTTGAAATGTATGATCTTTTCTTCTTAAATGCCTTGAAAGAGCAGCGAAACTGAGCTCTCCGAAGCGTGGCGCCCAATTTGAATTAATTTGGCGGCCCATGTACCAATATTCTAGAAGGCGGTCGCCCATCTTTGGCAGAAGAGAGCCACATCACTAATTTCGAGAACTTTGCGGATCGGAGCAGTTTAGTAATACGCTCATATTAGATAATAGTAATCGCAGATGGCAATGAAAATTCAATTTCGTTAAAATGATTGTTTACTCTAGAAGAAACATATATGCAACTTCATTAGTGCTACAAATCTTTGGCACAATTTCTAAAATGAAATACAATTCCTTATTAAAAACCTCTGGTGCTTTTAAACACACAAACGCCGTGCACCCATGAAAGGGATTTACGAAATATGTTTCATCGTTATTTAATGTCTGTCATTTTATTTTCTAGACGGTTTATTCTCGTCAGAATGCATTTTATCTCAACATTTTCGAACAACGAAAGCACGGTATATTGTCTACCTGTTTGTCCTGTGTCTCCTACGATCCTCTCTTCTCTGCAATTTTTTCCCTCTTCATCGTCCCCCACCCCCCGAATTTTTCATCACCTTCTTTGAAGAACCCTGTGGAAGCAAGATGGACCGGATAAAACTTTTTCGCGGCCGAACTTTGGAACGTTCTGAAATAGAAATTCTTTGACAAGCGTCGGAGATTTGGGTTAAATCAATTAGCTCTCTAGGTCTCTCGAGACTGTGCATGCGTCTAAAGGTAGGATCACTGAAAAAAATCAACACCTATTTCGAATATTACTTTTTTCGTTGCCTGGTGACTTAGCTCGTTTGTCAGCGTGATAGCTTTCCATGACGCAACCCAGGTTCGATTCCCGGTCAGGCAAGATTATAATGTGCGTTTTCCTTGAATTGTACGCGTGTATGTTGCAGTGTGACGATGAAAAAAATCACTTCTCAGTTCACAAGACCAGGATATCTTTTTGCCAACCCCTCTACCCCCTTAACCTTCGCCGGGACGCCGCGTTTAGGCTGTGACCCGTACATAGGACGACGCGCCACGCACAAACAAACAAACAAACAAACAAAAATTCATTGCTAGAACTTACCAGAAATGAATTGATAAAATATACTTTTTCTCTCCATATCTCACTTTTCAGTTATTTTAATTTTAAAGTAATTTTACCTACGAATATATAATTGGTGTGATTTAATGTCTCTGGTGCAGTAGGCTTCCCGCAAACATTTATTTGAATACAATTTCACCAGATGCAATGAGATCACCGGTAAACAAAGTTCAAGCGAAAGGAACCCACGTTTGAAGCGAATAAACTATGCATTAAACGAACATATTGTGAATTGTTATATCAAGTGAACGGTTTTTTAAAAATGTACCATAATTGCACAATAAACAATGTTTCAGAACTCTAGGCTTAGGGTGTTTGTTAAAATTACTTGAATTTCCTATCAAACATATATCATTCAGTATAACATTATTTTCTTTTTATTTTACAGCTGCACATTGTTTTTGGAGATCTGGTACTGTACAATTTAATCAATTCCAAGCAGTGGCTGGAAAATATAATTACGACTGGAACAACAGGATAAAATACGTCCAACTTTTAACGGTTATTAGTTTTATATATTTCTGGAAAATTTATATATACATATAATTTCTTATTTGAGCATCATGTTATGTTTACAGATGTCTTCCTATTTTTCTATCTTTGTTTTCGTTTTCAGATAAAGACAGTCATACTTCATCCTAAATTCAGAGGAAGAGAAAAACATTTTGAAAATGATATTGCAATAGTAATTCTCAAAAATAGAATTCTTATTAATGAAGCTGTTAGACCTGTTTGTTTGGATTATGAAAATAATTTTTTGAATTATTTCACTCCAGGAGCTGTGGGAAATGTAAGTGTGAGATTTTGTATTTATCGTCGAGTAACGTCAATGCTAATTGAATAGTAGTTATTACCGCCATTAAGCCAATGTTTCCGATTTAGCTAAAACTCCAGTATAGTTTGTCAAACGAAAGTAAAGAAATAGGATCTTGAAGAGCAAATAAGGGGCGCAGTATAAGTTTCTAAACGGAAGCAACAACAAACGTTATTCATCGTACCCGTTATGTTTGTAATTGGCAGTAGGAGGCTTTGATTAGTAATTTGCTTTTCGCCAAGCGAAAATGGGTCCGGCTATTCCAGAATAATATCACCACTTTTAGACGATACAGCTATATTGTTCTTGTGTTGCGTCATTGACTCACTTCAACATATTGATTTAAGACTGTTATTTTAACTTTTTTAATTAACAGAACTTTCTTGAAGCCTTTTAATAATACTTAACTTTGTAATCCATGGTTTATAATAATTAACTATATTTAAATTGATATTTATTAGCCAAGTTTCAATATCTTCCCTTCATAGCGAAACACCACTGATTCTCTTTCTTCTTGTGTATAGTGATAAAAAAAGAACTTAACTCACTTTCAATGTCATACGCGTACTTAAATGTTGCCTCTAATGAAGGAAATGAGATTCACTTGACTGAATTAAAGAAATATGTTGGGGAATATGGAATTATGTTTGTAATTTTTTACTCGTAAGTGGTCTGATGATACCGTTGTTAATGCTTTTACTTTACTATTAATGCCAATAAAATAATTTGTAAAAAATTTAAACAGGTGACTGGATGGGGTCAGAATGAAAAAGTAAGTTTTAGTGAAACTCTAAATGTAGCGAGTCTGACGTATGTTAACATCACAGAGTGTGAAGAAAATACTCCTCATGGATTTCATTCATTGTTGACAAATGACAAATTTTGTGCTGGAAGCCAGAAAAGTAAGTAATGCTACATATTATTTATTTTTATAAAATTTATATAAAAGCACAATATTCATAAACACATTGAAAAAGAATGGCTATGTTGTCGCGACAACTGATAGAAACGATAAAAGTGTGTGAAATAATTCGTGTATTCATCTGTGTGTACGATTATATGTCAGTAATGCTTTGATCATCTAGCTTAAGACAATTGTGAATTAGCTGAATGTCCGCTGAATATGAACTAAAATTATTACAGACGCATAGGGAAGAACGGCCCTAAGACTAAGGGGGACCTGGCCAACGTATTTCAGTCTCAACATTTCACAAAGCAAATAAAAGATTTTAATTAAGTGCATAGATTTCCCATTTCTTTTTGGTCGGCACTTCTTTCGCCATCTATCGGCGGCTGAGAAACCCGACAGTCTCCCACGGTCACTAACACCTTCCTACCGGCTTAGGTCGCTCAGGGCGTCAACGAAGGTTACTGCAGTGCCTCTGATTTGGAAGCTCTAGGATTCTAGCCCCCACGGTGGAAGGATTTTTGACAGTAGCTAGATAACAAGATCGATTTCAGCCGCTGTCTGGAGGAGAATTCTAGCGGCCGGCTGCTGTGATCGGTAGTTCTTTGTGGTTTCTCCGATCAACACCGGGCGAATACCGGAGCGGTACCGTATCAAACGGACCAAAGACCGCATGTGATATTTTCTTAATCTTTATTGTACTTTCCTCACCCCTTACGTGAACACACACTTACATGTCCTACACTACCACAAATGTCGGGAGACTAGTCGAGCGCTTAGAGCAAGTCCGTCCGAAGTGGTGTCTCACTGGTGGGTGATAACTGAAGGGGAAATTTCCTCTTCAGCCGACGTGTAGGTCGGCGCCAGATCTCACCATCCAGTCGAGAGGAACACCGCCACCTTCCGGAATAAAACATTTACTGAACTAATGGAACTAATGACTCCAGAGGTTGACACGCCAGGAAACAATCAGTCAATCTTGATGTTCACTACTTCAGACTTCCGTCTCTTCGTCCTTATACAGGTGCCAAATGAACCTCGTATCCTTGCATTTCACTCCTATATTTTCTCAACCTCCAAAAGTAATGCACTTTCGAAGTCTTCATCGAATTGTCCAGTTTCATAATTGGAATACGGTAACAAAATCGAGAATCGAAATAGGAGTGAAGTCGATAGACGAACTAACTCCGTAAGGGCCATTAGCACAGTCGATACTTCGAAATCGATTCTCACATCCCACCAATAGTAAACTAGAATGTTTCATAGCCAATAGAAACTCTTATTTTGCTTACGTTTATGTTATGCATTGTGAATACTTCAGTCTACCACTTATGTTAATGTTTACGTCTATGCGCTATGCTTCTGTTTACGTTTGCACTGTGAATGGGCCGTAATGCCTAGCGCGCGCTGTGTCGGTACGCCACGGACGGACGGGACGGAATGGATTTTTTAAAAGGTGGTTACATTAATTTCCGTAAGGGTGCGCGCACTAGGCCGGCACGGACAGAAATATCTTCTGGACATTCCGACATGCCGATGACGTCATCGGCACGGTCGGAGCGGCCTCTGCGCCGTTTCAATTGTGAGGTTATGTCAAGCGTGTGGAGCGATCATGATTACTCCAATCATGTTGATCCAGAATTATTCCGAGTTGTACAGCTTGATATTAAGTTTTGTTTGAAGTATTACTTTGTTAGGAAGTGTAATTTGTGTAATTTTATCGGTTAGCTAAACTATCTGAATCAGGGAGTAACATTTACCAAATTTCTAGGTATTTATAAGACGCTGTGCAGTATTGGGTAACTTGCTACACTTGTGCACAATAAATAAATTATGCCATGTTTTAGAATAACGCATTAGTTCATTAATCATCATATTTTTTTGTATGTGTTTTACATAAATTATTCTCTTATTAGTGGCGATTATTTTTGTAAGTTTCTAAATAAAGTAATGCAATTATGAATCCGCCTTTGTGCAATTTAATTGTATTACCAACATATTTATTTATATTACATTTTTCAAAATATCAAATTTAGCTTCAAATTTATCTTGAAATATCCTAAAGAACTGAAATAATTTTTCATCTTCCATCAGGACCGGATACAATATGTAAAATTCCCCTTTTGTCATTATTGTTCTGTTTAGAAGGGAAGAAAATTTGGACTTCCTTCCACTACTAGCCTAATTTGTGCTATTAAAAATGAACACAATGCGATTTCTTCTTTACCTAAATTAGTATGAAGCCTTCGCGAACAATACAAAGACACGGAGCGAGGAGCCATGCTGACAGAAACTGGCAGAAGTGCCCGTTTCGTCCCGTCTGTCCCTGCCGCCCCGGCCTAGTGCGCGACCCACACAAAAACTGCCGGCCGTCCGGTCCCGTCCCGTCCGGTCCCTGTCCCGTCCGCTCCCGTCCCGTCCGCTCCCGTCCCGTCCGCTCCCGTCCCGTCCGCTCCCGTCCCGTCCCATCCCATCCCATCCGCTCCCGTCCCGTCCCGTCCCGTCCCGTCCGCTCCCGTCCCGTCCCATCCCGTCCCGTCCGCTCCCGTCCCGTCCCTTCCGCTCCCGTCCCGTCCGCTCCTGTCCCGTCCCTTCCGCTCCCGTCCCGTCCGCTCCCGTCCCGTCCCGTCCGCTCCCGTCCCGTCCGCTCCCGTCCCGTCCGCTCCCGTCCCGTCCGCTCCCGTCCCGTCCGCTCACGTCCCGTCCGCTCACGTCCCGTCCGCTCACGTCCCGTCCGCTCCCGTCCCGTCCCGTCCCGTCCGCTCACGTCCCGTCCGCTCACGTCCCGTCCCGTCCCGTCCCGTCCGCTCACGTCCCGTCCCGTCCGCTCCCGTCCCGTCCCGTCCCGTCCGCTCACGTCCCGTCCGTCCGCTCCCTTCCCGTCCCGTCCATCCGTGCCGTTCCGATCCGGTGCGTGCGTAGCTTAAGAGTGTGATAAATAAATAGTTATGCTACTCCCGGTAATAATATAGATGGCAAACAATAGAACAGGGAGTGTGTTGATCTGAAAATTAGAAAAAGAAATTACGCGGAGCTCAGCGACGAATATTCATTTATTTGCGTCATTATTTACTACTGAAGTTCTTTGACGATGACTTTGTTGCAGTATTTGACGTATCTCAACCGCACTGTCATGTTATATAATACAAACGGCAAAAAACATTATTTTTCAATGGTCCTAATAATATAACCTTTCTTTTGACTGCATTATTTACATCGTTACTTGTGGAAGTTTTGTAGAAGAAATTCATCTTGTTTTCAGAAACCTCGGTGTGTCCGGGAGACAGTGGCGGTGGCTACACAATACGATTTAAAGATGGCAGATATTACTTAACTGGAATTGTAAGCGCTGGACCAGATGGCTTGGAATGTGGGCAACTTAAATATGTTTCGTTTACGCACGTGTATAACCATTTAGAATATATTAAGTCCTATGTGTATAAATATGTATGAATTACAGATTATGTAATTTACATGTGTAAAATGCAAGAAACAAGATTTTTTGACATGATTAATAAAAGCTAGTTATTAGGCTTATGGTGACTGTTTTCATTGAAATTGTAATAATGAATTTCCTAAGAAATAAACTGCAATACAAGAGCGAATGCGATCTGAAAATAGATTTATGTAAAAAAAGCATGTTCAAATTCAATGAAGCGTGCAACAACTATATAATTATTATCCTGGGAATTTGTACAGAGTATGGCTTTCTGAAGAAAAAAAAATTAATAGTGTGCTCTGTAAAAAACATACTCCAAAAACATTAAGAGGTACAGTATCACTAGCTGTGAAGTCCTTCATCTTCTGCACGTCATACTAAAGAAGGTTTGTCCAGTAAAACACAAGAGGTCGTGCGAGAATGATGTTATTTTACACGACAATTCAATCAATTCAAAGCTTTACATGCCCAGTGGTAACTGGGCGTAATCCTTGATCCCGTTCGGGGTGACAATTCTTTTAACAAGTTTAATTATTTATTTTATGTGAGCACACTACCTATTTGCTCTTTGCTCCGCCTATTGATTCGATGAATGCAATTTGTTGTGTATTGTACCACAGTAATTAACGTTCAATTATAATATACTTTGTGTACCTCTCCGCCAATCACAGCGCACCTGCCCCTCCCGAGAGCCCAGGCAAGATAGTTTAAATCAACGGGCGCGTAGCGCCGCAGTGTCACTACCCTGAGGAAGCCTGCGAAATGTCGGGCGAAACGTCGGCACCCCAGCCAACGACGCGGCGTCTCCCGGACAGCCGAGAATTCAATTTATAATATACTTTTTTAAATGTAACTAATTTTGTCGCACACATTTGTTCTGTAACTCGTTGTTGGAAGTCGTCTTCTAGAGACACTTCCAACAGAATATAAATTGAATTTTGACGCGACAGAAGCGATGACCTTTCTTAGGTAAACAGCTAACCGCAATACGCAGGGCTCTTGTTTGATTCCTCTACAAAGTGATCCTTAAATATGAAAATAAGCATTGCTATCATAAATCGCATTCATACATACAAACAAGTGCATATAGGCATCTTAACCTGAGCAAATTTAATACAGACGCAGCGAAAACCAGTGGACAGTATTGACGATGCGTAGATACATAATTTCTCCCATTAGTAATGTTATAATATTTCAATTAAGACAAAACTACAAAAAAATTCTCAGCCAATATTTGAAAAACTCCTTGCCAAACGTTGCACTTGAGAAGCCAGAAACAGCTGTCACACCTATTACAGTATTTGGAGGACATTATGTAGAGTAGTAAGAATAATTTTACACAAGCTTACCTCAATTAGTTCAAAAGAGAATTCCAAATATGGAAAGAATTACGAATCAGTAGAAGGATATATGACTTGTGTATCCAAAACGAGTGGTGCTAAACCAGCACATACTTTCTCGCCCTTAGTAATGCTTACGTAATACTAATTATATATCGCAATTTATCTCCGACTTAACACATCTCTGTAATAATTTCTCGTAAAAATAAATTTTTTGAAAAATTGTACATGACCTTATTTCACTATCTATTTTTAAGGAAAGAGTTCATTAAAGGAAAAAATCAATTCATAATTGTAGTTGTAGGAAGACGGGGTTTTCATCGAACATGAGATCTGTACCATTTTCTTAAACTTCCTTCACACTATTCAGTAACAAAGTTTTATCAAAAACGTTCGAACCGTTTTTAAGTTTTAAAAATGTCATAGGGGCTTCATGACAAGTACCCGCACATTTAAAATTTAAAATTCAAGGGGCCACAACATCAGCCAGATTGATTGGAGAATATTAGTTTTGGAAAAAATGGGTTGGAAGGTTTAGCCGCTAGCGTTGTTCACAGACAGAGAGACACACGTTTTGCCGTCATTCGATTTTTCGGTATAAAGGACCCACAAAACATGGATTCTGGCTACGCCACGTGTTAGAACATTTTTTTTCTAAATTGAGAAACTGAATTCACCCACCTTTTCGTTATCAGGGACCTCTTAATAATAGTTTTTCTGCCGGAAAGTTTCCGTTTTTTCGCACAGCATTACATAACTTTCTCTGTGCTGCGTAAGTGGTAGCATAAGTAAAAATTAATTTACATTGTCCTTTATATTATTCTATCATCTTTTGTCATTTAAATAATATTTCAATATTATTGTTTGTAAAACACTAGCAATGTCAGTATAAATTCTCGGCTATCCGGGCTATACGTATACAAATGTCAGTATAAAATTAAATCTATGAAATCAAATACATCAATCAAATTGAATAATCTACACCTGCATTCTTCACAGTGAGAAGTGTCGCTTAACCATGAAATTCATGCAATCACTTCACAAGCCGAAGCATCTTATGAAAAGTCTTTTACGGTACTATTCTCATTACCGTTGAACGCACACTATTATCGAAAATTGCAAAAATATAACAATTCAAAAGTACAAAATTGAAAAGAGATTTTTGCCTTAAACAAAATTTGTCCTATAAAATCAACTCTTTCAGAAAGGAGATGTACAATTTTTTTTAACAAAACGACTAATTTTTGCGAAACTTGTGCTTAAATTTAATGCAATTTATAAAAAAAACGCTTTCTCAAAAACCGCTCAAAATTTTTTCTTCAATTTGTTTTCACAGATGGACCAAAGAACGCTTAAAAGAATATCTTAAATCTTTTTTTCGTTAAACTCACTGAATTTTCAAAAATAGTTTCGAATTTAGAAATAATGCCAGAAAGTATGCGCTGTTGTAGCCTCGCTAGTTTCATTTTAATTTTGCTCATCAACTGGGCGATTGGCGGAATTTTTGACATTTGGTGGCCCCCGGCGGATCTGGCAACCGTGTGTGGTGTGTTGTCTCTGGAGTGATCGGTCAACCCCCCACTCTGGGACTTTCCTCGGGCGCTTTGCAATGCGGCACTCGCCGTCGAGGCGGCCGCAGACGCCACCAGCCCGTCAGCCCGCCTCGCCCGACGCCAACCCGACGCCATGCGTCGCAAGTGGCTGGCCAGCTGGGCGGCAGCCGAATTGCTCCTCGCGCTGGGCGCAGGTGAGTGGTACCTCGTCTTCCAGCCACTCCCCTTGAGCGTTCATTTCCACACCCACAGAGCATTTCGGGGCGCCACATTCTATGGCGGGTGGTCAGGTATGCAAAAAAATGAGGGCTTTGAAATGTGCGAGTTAACAAATGTTAACACTGTATGTAACACTAATATTTTTATAGTTTCCCATCACTAATAACTAGCCCAATATTAAACATTCTTCTTTTGCTTACATTTGAAATTTTAAAAAAATGTTGAGATTAGTCTGAATGCGAAATATTGAAGAGATATCATTTTAGGTGTAATGACATGCATGCTAACGATAATCAAGGCCGCATACAATTGGGGTTTCCTTTGGGTTTCACCCACCTCCAGGAAGTCAATGAAACATGTTCAAAAATATAGCTTTTACTAATTTTCTGTACTAACAAACGTCATTCATATATCAATTGTTAACGTTATTCCTATTAACTTTAAGGCATAAAATAAAAATGAAATATTTATATTTTATATTTAGAATAGTATATTTAGAATAAGTATATTTAGTATAGTATATTTAGAATAAGTGAAAAAATATTTATAAGATGTTAATGGAAAAATTGGCCCAGTCTTTTTGATACGATCTTGTTGAAGCACAGTAAAACGTCAAATTTACCACACATCTATATTTTCTGACCACACTCCACTTATAAATTCCAGTGCAAAATTCTGGTTAATTGTTTCATCACAAATTTTATTTGATGTTCGGCCCCGTGCAAACAATGTGTGACTAACTTGAAGGTATGTGCTGCATTTGATGACCACGTGTTGAGACGGCTTATTAGGAGGGGAATGGGATATTGAATGGATGAATAAAAACTATTCTCTCGTCAACGTTTCAGAATCTATTCTTCCAAGTAATATGCATGTAAATTACATGACCCCTCAAGGCTAGTAGTAAAGAACAATACATATAACATTTACAATTAAGTTACATTAAAAATTACGTTTCAGATAGCTAAAATTACATTTGACAATTTACTGTTTGGCGCATTGTCTAAATAGTTTCCATTCTCTTGCTTTGTTTTAACTGTACGATTGTAATTTCTTCCACTGAATCATTTCCTTGGAAGAGTTCAGCCCATTATCCCAACAGTTGCAATTCCTGAAGTGATTCCATTTTTGCATCTGAGCAGTAAATGCAGTAAAACTCTTCAATCGCCATGTACTCTTATTTTTTTAACCTTTTTTTGACATAACATTTTTGGGTTTTCATCCAATCTGCAAATTATTTGAACGTATATTTCCATGAATTGTGGTCATTATTAGTTTAAAAAGCAGTAATGCATTGGCTTGTCTTCAAGAAAAACTTTCTAATTTTCAGTGATTTTATTGCAAGATAATTATGCAGCAAATGCCTTTATATGGAGATGGAAACGACAATCGTGTCGGTAATTATATATTTTAAAAAACTATTATTGGTATTTGTCATATTGATAATTATGTATGAAAGGTGTGTTTATTTCCGATTTCCAGCCAAAGCCAGTTCCAATGTGCCTCCGGGGAATGCGTGGCTCAGTTCTTGATTTGTGATGGCGAAGTTAATTGTCGCGATGGATCAGATGAAACTCAGAAAGCTTGTTCGGACATTCAGTGAGTATTTAGATGACATTCATCTCCATCTCTGGGGGTTTCACTCACAGAGATTTGATAAAATCTTACAAAAAATTACAATTTTTATTTTAAAAATACTTTATGAAGCTAAGAAATATAAGAAAACTCATGTTCCTTCATATTTTTATTTGTTTACGAAGAGTCAGAATGAAAAATTTAAGCCTTTTCATATTTTTCTAAAGACATTTTCTTGAGTAGTATACTTGATGTTGATTTCAAGTGATGTTATTCTTGTCAGGGTTTTTGATAATTTTGCTTAAGACTGGATACCTGTAGAATTCATAGGTTATGTCTGTGACCAGGTGCCCAATATACGCATTTCGGTGTGAATATGGGGCATGCATAGAAGGCGATAAGAAGTGTGATGGGAAAAACAACTGTGCCGACGGTTCCGATGAAAAGGACTGTGGTGTGAGTGGTGAGCTTGCTGGGACTGACGTGCCGGCAAAGGCAACGAACTGCAAGTAAGTTGTTCAGAGAACTTTCTGCCTTGAATCTAAACGTTTCTGAAGCCTTGAATCTAAATGTTTCTGAAGCCTTGAATCTAAACGTTCCTGAAGCCTTGAATCTAAACGTTCCTGAAGCCTTGAATCTAAACGTTTCTGATTGACTTGCCACTGCTCCAATATTTAACTGAGTTGTTTATAGTTGCAAGAGAGTATTATCCGAAACATACGTTAGTCTTCACAAGTGTACGTTATTACAAGTTGCATCTATAAACTTCCATACACTGAGAGAGCGGTTGTACGGATGTCAGACCTCTGTATCGCACACGCGAACTTGAAACCGTCAACGCTTCATATGAAAGCCAAAATACAGGAATAATACGATACATTATTTTCTACGTCTTTCGCTTCGTGCTACATGCAGAAAATGCGAGTGCAAGCCAGCTCCTCACGCTGGTCTAAGTTTTCTTCGGCGCTTTTCAATCGCTTGAAGGAGAGAGTGCTGCAGTGCTTTCACGGCAAACATGACCAGCTATTAAGACATCGTTCGCGGCAGCCATTCGAAAGGTATTAGGAGAGATAGCGTGTTTCCTTGTTTTGCCGGAAAGCTCGAGTCTCCGAAACGCATAATGAAATTCACAGTTACGGCCAGTGATGTAGGTAGAGTTGGCATCGTCCATGACAATATAAATGTACGAGTATGTTTAACGAAAAGATCCGTTACAGCTCAGTTAATGTTTCTGTTTTAATATTACGATCTTTTAACTATAAATGTCATGCCAAGGAGCTTTACTGGCCTTCTCAAAGCTTTAAAATTGATATTTCTATTGTTACAATTGGATCATTTTATATTATATTTTAAGAACATTTTATAGATAAGCACTTTAGAAAATCATGCTTTCATTATCCTGGAACAGGTATCTGAATCGGAATACTTTCTACATACCCGATACAATCACGTTTCCCCTTTGCATTTCCTAATGCTAAGTGCTTAGGGCCAAATTCTTGTGTATACAAAATTGATAGTGTCGATAATCTATCTGGCAGAGTTTGTCAATGGTACCTTGAAATTGTAATTCATATCATTTGTAATCGTAATATCCCTTTACTCGTTAGTTAACTAGTTCGTAGCAAAAGCTATTTTTCAAACTCAGAAAAACTGCCGTATTCGGGGGCCAGAACACATCAGTAACAACTACAAATTGCATTTCAATTTCGATTTCTGCAAGCAGACATTCTATGTCAGGAGTTGAATGTGTATTTGGAGGCCATTTTAGTGTTTTTAGTGTTAATATCGTCACGAAAAGACATTGCACCCCCTCCACGCCAGACTTTTCTTTTGAACTGCTCTTTATAACCGAGATTTTTGTAGGGAGCAATGCATTCATTGCGTTTTCAGCTTCTAATATTTCGTCCGGGATATTATTGAAATCCTCCATGATTTCTAAATTCATTAAGTCACTATGATGATCGTAAATACACAGGCAAGGCCTATTGAAATTGGTCTTCTTCGGAATGAAAATGACATCATCAAAGTAAATATGGAATGCTAAAGATATATTTTTATTATTCAAAATAAAAATATTTTTGAATGGAAACGAAAAAATATTGAACGTAACACATGCATAAATGCGTGCAATTGCACTCGTGGTAAATAAAGAATCACGCTCCTATCATCGCTCGTATTCTTTAATCATACCACATCGTGCAATTATACGCCTATTTATACACTCGTTTCGTTAACAACTGTAATATGACAAAATTAATTTTGCTGAATTCTTTTATTTAAAAAATTACACATGACAGTTTTTTTAAATATCTCTCATTTCTTTAACATACACATTTCCAACAATTTGTGTACATTGTTGCATGTGTGAGGGAAAGTGATTTAAATGACGTCCAATGAAGTTTTTCGAAAACTCAAAAAAATTATGTGAAAAAGAGCTTCAAATTTCGCATTCATAGTGACACTTAAACGGCAATGAATGTTTCCTTAAAGTATGAGGTTTTACTCCTTTAGTGTTTTACAAAGTAATATTTCGAGTCTAACGATAGGAAACAGAAATTCGTATTCACGTTCTACATAAATGTACGATTATGCGTATTTTAGCCGTAAATAAAATTATTAGTGTATATTAACGCGAATGAAAGGCAACCATCATTATCGCCTTCTGTTACCAGTGCGGCGTTAGAACAATTGTCTACAACAAGTAGCAATGACCGCGAATTTTTATGGGACTGACATTTTGAAAATTTGCATTGTTGATACCGCTAGAAATAAAATGAAATTGGATAGAAAAAAATTAAAATAATAATTAATATAATATATTAATACAATACTCTTCATTCTCACATTTTATTGAGCAAAGCGAAATCATCTATTCGTTTTCACATTTAATTGAGTTAAAGGACGTACTATAAAATAGGTTTTAAATAATTTCTAAAATATTAATTTTAAAACGTATAACAAGATCGAATGTGTGAAACGAACAATGAAATATGAAATAATGTACAAATTCTAACCTACGTAGCATCAAAGTGCCTAAAAACACTAAGACGCCTATTTCTCAATAGCTATTGAAATTTCGAAAAATTTAACATGATCTTATTTGAAGATCTAATTAAATGAACACATTCCGTTAAGAAAAAAATGTATCTTCATAACTGTTGCTGTAGGAAGACGCCGAAAATATATTGAATTTTTTCAATTTTGGAAAAATCGGTTTTTTCAACTTATATGAGACATGCACCAAACTCTTAAACGTCCTTCAAACTATCCAACAACAAAATTTCACCAAAAATAAAAAGCAGTTTCTGAGAAAAAATTATTTAAACAATATTAAAAATTGCCTATATTTAACGCAAAATTACGCGAAAAATACTTAAATTTCGGAAAATTGTTCTTGGTTTTATTTCAAATTCTATCCTTAAGGAACTGATTTATTAACGGAAAAATCCCTATCTTTAATATTTTATTTGTAGAAAGACGCCGAAAAAATTTTGAGTTTTTGCAATTTTCTAAAAATCAGTGTTTTAAACGATAAATAAAAACCTGCATTGTTCACTGAAATTTTCTTTACATTATACAACAACAAAATTTAATCAAAAACGATGGACCCATTTTTTTAATGTCCCAGGGGCTACATGTAAAGTACCCCCAAAATTAAAAAATCGGTTTCAAATTCAAGGTGTCGCGATATCATTCAGATCGACAGGGGAATATCAAATTTGAAGAAAATCAGTCGCGATCGGTTTAGCCGCTAGTGTTGATCACACACGGACGGACACACGAACTGACACACAGACGTTTTGCCGTCAATCGATTTTTCAGTATCCAGGACCCACAAAACATGAATTCTGGCTACATCACATGTTACAGGACTGTTTTTTGTAAAATTAACAACAATTTATCCACTTTTCAATATCAGAGACCCGTAGTATGAGTTTTTCTGCAAACAATTTGCTGTTTTTTCGCACAGCATTATATAATTTTCTCTCTACTGCGTAAGTGGTAGCGGGAAAGATAAAACATACGTGATATGCTCTGCTCGAGTAAATGCCACTAGAAGATACGATTACAAGTTGACAGACCAACTGTCAATTAAAGTTTATTATCTATACTTTAGGGGAAAACATTGATATGCCACTATTGTGAGGGAACAGGAATGTAGAAATTATAGCGAAAATTGTGTGTGCTGTATCCCTTACCATTGAAAACACATCCTGACATTTAATATACGGTTATTTTATGATAGACCAGTGGCTAATTCTGTATTTTATGTTAATACGTATGCCATTATTCTAACGGGACAGGAATAGTCGAATCTGAACAAAAGTTGTCAATGTTCGCAATTTTAAAGACAAATAGTGACTTTAAGCTCCGCGTAACTTACAACAACCGACAGCAGTCGCTACCATCTGCGCATGGGCAGTTCGAGTTAGGCACCCACAAATGCTCAAAACTGGTGTAGAGTGGTCGAGATATTGCTAATAATGCGTGCAAAAAGTCACTAAAGCCTGTACTATCAGTGGTTATTTAAAATGTATCTTTTTCAGAAATCAGTACACTTGCAAATCTGGATCGTGCATCGATCCCTTTCTTTTGTGTGACGGCATGAAGGACTGTGATGATGGATCCGACGAAACACACGAAGTCTGTGCCAGTTTTACGTAAGTTTTAATTCATTTTTATTAGAGGTCTTGTACTACTGTCTATAGATTCACCTACACATACAATTCATCTTTTATTAACTAAATTAGATCATTGTGCTTCGATAGACTAGCCAAAAAATTGATAATCTTTTATTTTTTTATTTTTTAAAACTAGTGGGAATACGCGGCATGACGAAACCGTTCCTCTGACAGTATGAGTGATATTACACAATAATTACTCAGGTTAAAAAAAAACTAACATTTAAAGATCTAAAATTAAATTATGCTACGCAGAAATATCCAAGCCACAAGAATAAACGGGATTGAAAATGGCTTAGAAATTGGGGACACATCTTGCAGCAATTGGGGAATATCGAGCAGCAAGGATACACGCCAAAGATGAGATGTGTATGGGATGAACATTTACACTGCATTCACTTAGGTTTTTTGTGAAAAATAAATCTTTGGCTTTAATATTGGAGGCGTAGGGCATATTGACAAATAAATTTGAACCAGCTGAATACTTGCGTTCACATCGAAGTAAAAGAAGAGCTAGAGGTTGATATAAAAGTTCTAGATATACTTATTAGGAAAATCGAAAACCTCCAAAACATTGTTTAATGTCGTTCAGTATACGTTCTCAATGACCTGAGGGAGGTTTACCGTTTCTGGAACAACCACTTACTATTTACTACAATTTAAACAGATTTATGAAAATTTAATTAAGTTGATTTTTATTTGCCAAGTTCTGGACTTGTGTATTGTAGTGGAAGATAGCAAGAAATTCTACTATTCACCTTACTTTCAAAACGCAATGCATCTCTTGTAACTAACATTACTAATATTTTTTTGTAAAGGTATGTGTTTCAGACGATTGCTATACACTCACTAATCTTTGCAGTTCAACACGGTCAATCTTCGAAATAAAATAAAAAATCTCGCAACCTTCACCTTACACTTACACACGCTAGACCGTGCTAGACAAATATGTTCTTGAAGAAGGGGTTGACACATCTAATGTATGTAATGAACAAATTATGGGAGAGAAGCGTTCATTCTAATAATTTTACGATTCTATTAGAATGTAGTGGTTATACTACAAAACCCGGTTAATAGCTCGTGATTACACATCCGGGAACAAAAACCTTGGATTTAAAGCAAAAAATCATCAAATTTGCGTGAGTAGATGGCTGAAACGTCTTTCTTAACAAAAACGCTCCGTGTCTGAAATATACAAATTATTCCAATTTTCGAAATGTAAGAGGTTTTAATGAAAATCGGAACTATATCATAGTCACTTATAAATGTACCGTCTGGGAGCCCCAACTTCATCTGTTTGGACCTCAACGGGAGGTCCTAGGTTTCGATGTCCGAGTCCCGCTAGTAGTAGGAGTTTCGTCACTAGCTTGTCAGCTACGTCGAATTTAGCCGCTGTCTGGAGGACAATTTTAGAGGCCAGTCTCCCTAATCAGTATAGTTTTCCGTGGTTCTCATATCAGTACCAGGCGAGTGCCACAGCAGTATCCTAATAAACGGGCCGCGGACCGCGCGCGATCATTCCTTCCTCTTCCTTGTCCTATCGTCACTCGTTATTTACACACTGGCATTCACTACTCTACCAAACAAGCCGCGAGACCGGTCAGGAGCTTAAAGCTTGTCCCGGCTGGGGCGGTGCCCCGCTGGTAGGAGATATCTGCTTAGGGAAAACCCTGCTAGCCGACTTTATAAAGCGGGGGAAGATTACCGCTACTTCCCGAGGGCGAAACTATAAGGATAATGACCTTAGCAGATGACGCACCCGAAATCACTAACAATCACTAACAATGGTCGATATTTCGAGAGCAGTTATTGCTTGAATGATGGTGTTGTGTGGTTTGAATACGTTTTGTTCCCTGTCCGTCGGCGCAGGTGTCCGGCGTTCGCCTTCCAGTGCGAGTACGGCGCGTGCGTGATGCAAGAGGCGCTGTGCGACGGCCAGGCACAGTGCGCGGACGCGACTGACGAGCACCCCC